AGAGAGAGAGAGAGAGAGAGAGAGAGAGTATTACGGAGCGGGTTGTTTCAGCACCTGAGACATGTATTTACTAATGTCCTGTCTTGTTGTGCGTATGCATGAGTGAACCTAAGTTTAGTAACACCTACTGCCATTGTAAATGACCAGGACAAATTTCTCCTTGCGAAATGAATAAAGATTGTCAATGTCATTGTCAACTGAGACAAAATGTGAAGCATAGTGACAAAATAAGTTACTTCTCGGATTTGAGTCCAACGGGAATAGATACATCATGATTATAGGTGAAATTTTTACAATTTAAAAGTATAAAATAATAAAAGACAGGTTATATTTAAAGAATTTAGCATCAATAGAAAATCTACAAATTTGACAGCAATGTTGATTTTTTGCCAAAACTTCCATTTGTGGATTGCGAGAAGTAATTCATTTTGTTAGCATGCCTCACAAACGTTAAAAAATTCTCTGAAAAAGTCAAACCTGGGATGTCTTTTAAAGAGTTGAGCAACCAGTCCCCGCAGGTCATAGCTGAACTGTGGGGAAATTGGAGGGTAGCTTCCTCTGAGGGAACACAGACAAAGCAAAAAAAGAGTAAGATAAGAGTGGGCAGTGAGTAATTCTTGAAAAAAGGGTGTGATGAAGCACAGAAAACACCCAACAAAATATTTCGAAGTTTTAGTAAGAGGTTTACAGCACTTGAAACACAATAAGGTCATATAAGTGCTGAAGATTAGAGGAGTTACAAGAGAGTAATAAACACAAAAAAGAAGGAGGGAAGATAAAGACGATAGTTCTTTGATAGGAAAGAAGGAGCAAGCCACACCAGAGCACCTGCCAACCACCCACAGCAATTCTTGAAAAAGATGTTTTTTGTTTTAGTAAGATTTTACGGTGCTCGCAACAGAAAAAGGTCATATGAGCACCAAGGGATGGATGTCAACAGAGAAGTCCAAACGGGGAATCAAGCTTACTCTGCTCACCTCTCTAGCCTCAACAGCACAAAGTCTGCTTGGACTATCAAGGCACCCGCAAATAGCGGATCAGAAGAGTGTAACAAACATACGAAAGAAATAGAGGAAAATGATGATAGTAAGGATGAGGAAAGAAAAAGCAGCAGTTCCCCCATGTTGTTCCAGCACAGTATGAGCATGACATTGATAAATCAGTCCATTTACAATTCTACTGTGCATAAAAACATGTTAATATCCCCCCCTCTGGGAATGGCCTAAAGATACTCCAGTCAGTAGCACTGCCCTGATGGGGGGGGGGGGGGGGGGTGTCTGTTCACTAATGCATCCAAATAAAAACAAAAAGCAAACATACTTCACGACAAACCATGACCCAAAAGTGTTGAGAACAACATAAAAACGACATGGAACCTACATCACTTCAATAAAAATGGGGTACAAAGTAAAGTTGTCCCCGCATCCGATCCGGACTTTGGGGATTGCCTTGTCAGTGAGACAACTTCCTGGGTCTTCGGCATATTGTGGTAGGGTGGCCAGTTCCTTTCCACGCTGCCTTCACTTTCCAAACTCAAAGTCAGGTACCCATTACTGCTGGGTGGGCAGGAGGGGGCAAAAAAAATCTGTGTCCAAACTGAGGCTCGAACCCTGACTTTCTGCTTCGGAGACGAGCGCACTAACCGCTCTGCCACTGCATCCTCAAGAATGGGGTACACAACACATTGATTGCCAGAGGGAGAGACATATTTTTAAAAATATACACATTTAGCGACTTTCTGTACTGACCTGATAATTTTCAGCACCAGGTTCTTCATGTTGCCAGCTTCAAACTGAAAAACATGAGAGAGAAACACTTCTCAAATATGTGTAGGTGTATGACAATTGTGTGTGTGTGTGTGTGTGTGTGCTTGCCCTGACCGACGATCATGTGAAACATTATATCTAGAATCTAGATACAAACTTTTGTGCATTGGGGAGGGGGATTATATTTTTTTAATGAAACTGGATTGTTCCTAAAAGGGAAAAAGTCACAGTATCTTACTAAAATCACTAAAATTTCATGGTCTCTTGTTCTTTTATTCACTGAAGGAGAAATAACAGATTTGTTCCTACTAGTACAGGGGTATGAGGTTGAATGTGCGACCCCCGCCCCCTTTTTACTAACTTTGGACCACTTGTTCACCCCCCCCCCTCCCTTTTTATTCCTACCCCCCTTTTTATTCCTACCCCCCCCCCTCCAGCCCCCCTTTCATTCGACACCTTAGAGTACATCAGACCTGCCACTCTATGAAATCTAAAAATCAGGATGTTAGAGTAAAAAAATCAGGATCTGGTGAAAAAAATCGGTATCAACGGCAAATCAGTCATAAGGGGTACTGGGGAAGGGGGGGGGAGGGGTCCTGGTTCCCTTTTATGAGGCAAGTATACAAGTGAAAACTTGAAAACTTTTGCAGGAAAAAGTTCACGTTTGGGCCACTAAATAGAGGGAAAACTGAAAGACAGCATTACTCGAGTCGGAGTGGGATAGATTGGGGGAGCGCAGCTGAAACTCTCGTAGTCTTGAAAATAGCTGACACACAACTGTAATCATCCACGGAAAAAGCCCGCGTTTTCATACAGTAACAACGTTTGACTTCCATTGCAAATACACTTAAGGCACCCCCCCCCCCCCCCCCCGAAAAAAAAGGTCGCGCCAAGGTTGTTCATTTCTTTCTTTTTTCTTATTCCTCTATCCTCAATTAGTAGGTTCTACTTGTATCACGGCACACACTTTAAGCCCAAGTGTCAAAACAATACCCCTACCCGCTCCCCCCGGTCGTCCTGGTTAAGTCTTGAAAAACACCCCGACCAATGCGACCGGTGTGAATGAACTTTGCTGACCCCGACAGCCGACGGTCCCCGAAACACGCGCTACTCACACGTACCAGGTCATGTCACGTGTTGCGAATGAGCGTTTGAAAGTTCCACTGACGGGTCTTGATGATGGGCCCGACTAACCAGAACTCAAGACGAAGCTTGCTTTTAAACCAACGGCAGAACAATAAATAGATTATTCTTAGGCCCATGACATAATTGTTACAGTAATCAGGACACAGTTGGAGAATTCTGGGTTATAAAAGCGAAAGTACATCTTGAGCGTATCCATGTCGGAATTCAAAATCGATACTAGATCTACGTCGGTTTTAGTTGAAATAACGTGCGTGAGTCATCTACTAGATTCGGCATAGATGTTTCAGAAAGTAGCGTTCCAAGTTCCTGCCGATGAAAACTCTAATCGGTGCTTCCAAGCAAAAGAGATTGCACAACTTTTTATATATTTTCTAAGAATCGGACGCAACTGACACAACAAGAAGAAATCAGGATACTGGCGATCGAAATCGGGATGCTTGAGATTTGGGGCAAAAAATCGGGATATCCCGATTAAATCGGGATGAGTGGCAGGTCTGAGTACACTTACTGCCACTTCCCCTAACTTACCGAACGTCTCCCTTCACTCACTTACCGCATGTTTCAGTGTCGTGAGCTCATAAAGGACACATCCCATTGACCAGATATCACTGGGGAAATAAAACACTCGGGTCATTCGAAGAATAAGAACAAATTTGGAAGAAGGTTAGAAAATCTATTCAGCTGTGAGTGATTGGTGAGTTATGAATTTTAAACGAGACGGCACCTCTGAGTGGAATAATTCATCTTAGTGAAGTTTCAGCTTCAAAGCCCACGTTACATTTCATTCTAAGAACACTCCGATTTTCAAAATCCGGCAATTCATTTTCTATATTTTTACACTTCACAAAATCATTTGGCTCATAATAGATATTCATTTACTCGATCTGTCTCCAGGAAATACTATCTCAATCTCAAAGACTCTCTGTTTTTCAGAAGCAGTTTAAGCAATAAGTGGCCTCTCAAACATGAGATCAAGATAATATTTGCTTTATTTACCCTGTCAACAAGATCAAGATAGTATCTGCTGTATTAACCCTGTCAATAAGACAAAAGATAATACCCGCTATATTAACCATGTCAATAAGACAAAAGAAAATATCCGCTATATTAACCCTGTCAATAAGACAAAAGAAAATATCCGCTATATTAACCCTGTCAATAAGACAAAAGAAAATATCCGCTATATTAACAAAATAAAGATAATATCTGTAATATTTACCGTGTCAACAAGACAAAGATAACGTATGGCATCCTTCAGTCTCAGGAGACTATGGATCTGCACCGCCTTTACTTCCCAAACTCAAAGTCAGGTACCCATTACTGCTGGGTGGGCAGGAGGGGAGGGGGGGGCGAAAAAAATCAAGTGTCCGAACAGAGGCCCAAATCGAACCCGGACTTTCCGCTTCAGAGACGAGCGCACTAACCGTATGAGGTTCACACTCTATGTAAATCTAAACTGTATGAGGTTCACACTCTATGTAAATCTAAACCGTATGAGGTTCATAATCTAAGAAAATCTAAACCGTATGAGGTTCATAATCTATGTAAATCGTCCAAAACCTACATTGCGTATTCCCAAAACACACAAAAAAAGTTTCACCTTTTGTTGTTGTACGGCATGTTCTCCACAATCTCTGGAGACAGGTAGTACGGCGTTCCTATACAGGTGTGGGCCAGCTGCATAGTGCTGGGGATAGATAGATAGATAGATAGATAGAGGTAGTACGGCGTTCCTATACAGGTGTGGACCAGCTGCATAGTGCTGGGGATAGATAGATAGATAGAGGTAGTACGGCGTTCCTATACAGGTGTGGGCCAGCTGCATAGTGCTGGGGATAGATAGATACATAGATAGATAGATAGATAGATAGGTAGGTACATAGGTAGGTAGGTAGGTAGGTAGGCTGGAGAGAGGTAGTTCCTATACAAGTGTGGGCCAGCTGCATAGTGCTGGGGAGTCACAGATGGATGGATATATAGGTAGATAGACAGACAGACAGACAGACAGACAGAGAGACAGACAGACAGACAGACAGACAGACAGACAGACAGACAGACAGACAGACAGACAGACAGACAGACAGACAGACAGACAGACAGACAGATAGATATGGATGGATGGATGGATGGATGGATGGATGGATGGATGGATGGATGGATGGATGGATGGATGGATGGATGGATGGATGGATGGAAGGAAGGATCTGTATGGACGGATGGATGGAAGGATGGATGGATGGATGGAAGGATGGATAGATAGATAGATAGATAGATAGATAGATAGATAGATAGATAGATAGATAGATAGATAGATAGATAGATAGATAGATAGATAGCATTTGCATAGCGCAAATCCCCGCTCAACAGCAAACTCTATGCGCTTCACAATCTATACTATTACCCCAGCAGACCAGAGAGCATTCTGAAACAACCTCAACATCCTGGAAAGCATACAGTGCTAGCAGCCATTTATAGGCGCTAAAATACTAACATGCTGACAAAATATCAACCATGTCAACTCCTTAGTTTAGTTTTAGTAAGGTTTTACGGCGCTCGCAACAGCAAAAGGTCATATGAGCACAAAGGGGTGGATGCCAACAGAAAACTCCAAACGGGGAATCAGGCTTACTCTGCTCGCCTCTCTAGCCTCAACAGCACAAAGTCTGCTTTGACTATCAAGGCACCCGAAAAAAGCAGTTCACAAGAGAGTGACAAACATACAAAAGAAGTATAGGAAAAATGACCATAGTAAGGATGAGGAAAGAAAAAGTCTGATTACAATTCTACTGTACATACGAACATGTTAATATCCCCCCTTTGGGAATGGCCTAAAGACACTTCAGTCAGTAACACTGCCCAGGGGAGGGGGGGGGAGGGCTATGTAAACTCCAGTTCATTACTGGGAACATTGTGATTATACATTAAACAACGATTGTGTAATTAGACTTTATCTCTTTGAATTTTTCATTCAACAGGAGAAAGAGAAAACAGCATGTGACAACATCAGGCGTAAAGTCAAAGGGGAAAAGGATATTGATAAAAAAGGGAAAAGGATATTGATGAGAAAGGGAAAAGGATATTGATAGAAAAGGGGAAAGGAAAAAAGATATTAATGAGGAAACCTCTACCACTCACTTGTTCAGAACTTTGGCTATTCCGAAATCTCCCAGTTGCACAGTACCGTTTTGTGTGAGGAAGATGTTCTGAAATTGGGACAATTTCACAAAGAAAATTTCACATAAGCAGTCAAAGAAAATATGTTCTCTGTACAGTCACTCTTTGCATGCAACCAGTCAATCATGAATTCAAGGCTCAAACAGAAATTGGCTTACTTTCACAACGGTGAACCATGTGTGATCTACAAGTCGTGAGCTCAGTGCTTTCTCTTCGTATCTCCATTTTTAAGCCTATCCGAATGTCTTGTTTCACTATCGTATCCATACAGCGTGGGGAACTCTGTCCCACCACTTTCTAAAGAGGAAATTTTCTCGTTAACCCGATCCGTAGGCTTTGCCTAGTAGTCTGTCAAAATGATATTTTGAGAAATACTGAAAGTTTCAAAGAGATCTTGGCACTAGAAGTATTTTAAAATGTGAAGAATACAACCCCTGGTGTACAAAATGTCCCCAGGCATACGGATAAATTTAATAACAGTGAAAACAGTTCATAACAAAGAGTGGGCTAAAGAAGAAGTCACGTTTTCAATGTTTAAAAAAACCACGGTCGCGAAATGTTTGTCTTTCTCTACAAAAATAGAGAACAGGGAAGCACACTTTCTGTCTTCCCATCAGTTTATCCTGCATTTGCCAGACAGATCGCGGAAGTAAAACCCACAACACTGCAAGTGCATACACTACAAAAATATAGGAAACTCTAAATGACAAATTCAGAGGCTGTAACAGGGAGGACTTTGAAGTTGTAAATGCTGAAAATATTTAAAAAATTTCTTTGTCTGATTGTTGCTCTGACCACAAAGCCTTTTCAAATTGCTAAAACATTTTCTTTTTCGTGACAGCCCAAGTGAACACCTTAACTCTATTCGTACGCCCTGGAGTCATTTTGTATCCCTGGGGTTGTATTCTTCACATTTTAGAATACTTCTAGTATGAAGATATCTTTGAAATTTTCAGTATTTCTCAAAAAATCATTTTGACAGACTGCTATGCAAAGCGTACGGATCGCATTAACGAATGAATTTCCTCTTTGGGAAGTGGTGGCACAGAGTTCCCCACGTCGTATGGATATGAAGGTAAAACACAACGTACGGATAGGGTTAACAAAGCACCCACGGAATAAGGTAGGAATCAACACCCAATACAAAATGTCAGAACAAGAATCACCTGAGACTTGATGTCCCTGTGCAGAATCTTCCGGTCATGGATGTGTTTCACCGCAAGGCACAACTGGACGAACCAGTCCAGGATCTGAGGACAGTCAATATTTTCACACCTCAGAATGAGTAAATGCAAATACAGAAAATACTCACCTTTTCTATGACTGAGTACATAAAACAATTGAGATGGAGAAACAATCGAAAGCAAAGAGCCTTTTTTTTTCTTTGGTGCTCACTGCACTTCATCATCTGATATCTCACCACAGGTGGACCCTAGACTGGCAGGACTCACAACTGCCCTAAAAGTTAACTTACTTCACTGGTTCACAGGGAGCACACTTCTTTTTTATATTTTTAATAGTTTTTATGTTAAGTGTTTTACAATCCTCGCAACTGCATAAGTTCATATGAGTGCGCGGGACACACGTAAGATTTTCAAATTTTAAATTATGCCCGGGAGGCCTACTCATATCGATTTCCGACCACCAAGGGATCTTTAATGTACACAACATGAACACGGGATCTCCGAGATTTTTCGCCCTTGCTCAGGAAAGCTAGGTGTAGATCTTTCCTACCAGAAGATCAGGGGGTGAGACTGAAAGACAGCGGTAAGAAGGAGCCAAGGAGTAGCAGTAGAAAGGCTGCAGAAAGAGTCAGGAGCCCAGAATTGAGGTATTAACAAAATGTATTGACAGCTGACAAACTGACATACAATAACAGAAGGAACATAAGACAAAACCAAACCTGATCTTCTGAGAACAAGCGTCCCCTCTGGTCGTTGATCTTGCCATAAAGGTCTCCTGCAGGGGGAGAGAGGAAGATACAAATAATAAACAACACAGGCAGGATGCAAAGCATTATACCAAACAGTATAGAATATACCAAACAGTATAATACAAAACAGTATACAGTATACCAAACAGTATAACACAAAACAGTATACAGTATACCAAACAGTATAACACAAAACAGTATACAGTATACCAAACAGTATAACACAAAACAGTATACAGTATACCAAACAGTATAATACAAAACAGTATACAGTATACCAAACAGTATAATACCAAACAGTATACAGTATACCAAACAGTATAATACCAAACAGTATACAGTATACCAAACAGTATAATACAAAACAGTATACAGTATACCAAACAGTATAATACCAAACAGTAAACAGTATACCAAACAGTATAACACAAAACAGTATACAGTATACCAAACAGTATAATACCAAACAGTATACAGTATACCAAACAGTATAATACAAAACAGTATACAGTATACCAAACAGTATAATACCAAACAGTATACAGTATACCAAACAGTATAGAGTATACCAAACAGTATAATACAGAACAGTATACAGTATACCAAACAGTATAATACAAAAGAGTATACAATATACCAAACAGTATAATACAAAACAGTATACAGTATACCAAACAGTATAATACCAAACAGTATACAGTATACCAAACAGTATAATACAAAACAGTATACAGTATACCAAACAGTATAATACCAAACAGTATACAGTATACCAAACAGTATAGAGTATACTAAACAGTATAATACAGAACAGTATACAGTATACCAAACAGTATAATACAAAAGAGTATACAGTATACCAAACAGTATAATACAAAACAGTATACAGTATACCAAACAGTATATCAACAAAATGTGCGTTTCTTTTCAGTTTAAGTCAAGCATACTATATCCCGGAGCTATGTTACTTCATAATTCCGTTAATGCAAATGCCCACAGATTGTGATTGGGGGCAGCCCAGATGGGCGTGTCTGCTCAAAGATGCTGCTCAACTGGAGAAGTATCAATGACTGACAATTGTAGTTTGCTACGACAGTAGTGATAGGACAAGTTTCACAAAAACAGATCCTTCGCAGTATTATGTTCTATATATGAAACTTTGCAACATGCACCACCCAACCCTCCCCCCAAAAAACCCCCCCACAAAAAAACAGGAACAAATGTGTCCCATGAATTTAATGCATCTATTTCAGAGGATTTAAATAGACCATAAACCTATGAACCTTACCTGCTGAGCAAAAATTCATCACAATGTATAAACTTCCTTTTTCTGTGGAGAGAAGACAAAACATTGGAGTCACAACAGAGAATGAACAAGTACAAAATATACTCTATGCACAAAAGTCACGTGAAGAACTTCTCTCTCTCTCTCTTTCTCTCTAACTCTCTCTAACTCTCTCTCATTCTCTCTCTCTCTCTCTCTCTGTCTGTCTCTCTCCCTCTCTCTCTCCCTCTCTCTCTCTCTCTCTCAGTCTTTTGTAAACATCATGGAGATATCATCATTTGATTCACTCAACAAGCTTATTTTATGGACAAGGAAGGTGGTGCCATTCCCATATTTCTAACAGCAGAATAAAAACAATGCACAAGAATTTCCAATCAAAACGATAATAACAAAATCAACTTTCTTTTCCACAATCAGTGATTTTTTAAACGTTTCGCATAATGTTGAAAGATTTCTCATTTCTTAGGTTTGTTAAATCATGCAGCTGTTAGTTTTAGTAAGGTTTTACGGCGCTCGCAACTGCATAAGGTCACATGAGCACTAAGGGGTGGATGTCAACAGAGAAGTCCTTACAGGGAATCAGACTTACTCTGCTCACCTCTCTAGCCTCAACAGCACAATATCTGCTTCGACTATCAAAGCAGCCCGGAAATAGAAATTCACAAGAGAGAGACAAACATACAAAAGAAGTACAGGAAAAAATGACGATAGTAAGGATGAGGAAAGAAAAAGCAGCGCTTCCCCTATGTTGTTCCGGCACAGTATGAGCATGACATTGATAAATCAGCCCATTTGCATTTCTACTGAGTGCATAAGAACATGTTAATATTCCCCCTTGTGGGAATGGCCTAAAGACAACTTCAGTAAGTAACACTGCCCTGGGGGGGGGGGGGGCCGCATGCAGCTCTAAACAACTGTACCTTCAAAAGACTCGATATAACACACGATATTTGGGTGCTTGAGCTGGGCCAACACAGCCACCTGTGAGAGGAAAAAAAAGATCCAGGAAATTGGGTAGTACAGTGGCATGTAAAGGAAAAATAAATACTGTTAGTAGGACAAGACAAAAACCTTTCCAGGGTCCGTTATTACGTTCTTGGCTATTCTTATAGCTTGACGAATAATTATGAAACGTGCTAACAAACAAATACAAGGCCTCTGTGAGAATGAGTAGTAACGAAAGTTATCCTTTATCATCAAGAAGGTCACGTCACGGCCTTGAGGCATTTTAACACAGTTGGCCAATTAAGTTCAAGCTATTGATGTACACTCATGACATCCAAAACCAGCCAAATTTCTTTGCTACTGTTGACACAAGTACACAATACTCTATGCTTCAAGTCTCTCTTACTTTATCAACCAATTAAAAGCTTCTCTTCCTCAGAAAGTTATCTGTAACCTTCTGACAAATTTCCTCGTTACTGTTGATACGATTACACAGTACTCTAAGCTTCAAGTCTCTCTTACTTTCGATTCTACCAGCCCCAGAGTCAGGGGTGAGAATAAACTAAAAAGAAATCCAAGTTACAACATATATCTGAGCGGACTGGACCCAACCCCAAAGTCCATGGCAACTGAGGCAGACTCAAACACGGCATCCTATTGAAGTCAAATGACCCTGTGAGCACCTGCTATTTGACAAAATCCAACGGAAATCTGCAGGTAATACAATATTTCGCAACCTAAGCCCTTTCTTGTCGTTTCTCCATTTTTTTTTAAACACTGAAAACAGTTCATTACAAAGAGTGAGCTTAAGAAGAAGTCACATTTTCAATGTTTAAAAAAATGGAGATACGACAAGAAAGCACAGAGGCTGTGATTTAGTATCAAGATGTGTTCATAGAAGAGTGATATAACACTAGCACTTCAGACTAGTTTTGTACTTACTTCCTTCCTCGCTTCATCCCGCTCTTTTGGACTCATCTGTTTCAGGTGCGGAAAAGAAAAAAGAAATGTATTACGAAATAGCAAACATTTTAGTCTGTGGGAAATGTCCTTACATTTACATAATAATGACAAAATAACATACTAAGATCAAATCTCCACTCTTCACGTACATATGTCCCAGGACCTGAACTCTATCCATAGTAACATTATAGTGAAATGCAAAAGACCCACACCTCCATGGCGAATAATAAGACCAACCCTCCAAAAAATAAGTGAGAAATATACCATTCGACTCATGTACCTTCTCTTCTTTTTTGTTTTTCAGAACTTCCCCCAATGTGTCCTTTGTGTGACTATGCATATGAGACTGTTGATCATCACCTTTTCCACTATACAGCCCTAAATGACATCAGAGCTACCCTTCTCCCTCCGAGACCTAACATTGACAACATACTCTACGGAACATTACAGCAACTGCAGCAAACCTGCACTTATCACTACATGGCATTGGACAGAAGGGCGAGAGTCCAGTTGTTGCTGGATCAATAACAACAACAACAACAACCTTCTTTTTTTCCCTTGTCTTCTCTGTATGACCACTCGGTCAGGTGTTCTGTCTTTGAGATAACCAATTGGTGGCTCCCATGGGTGTTAAATTCATTTTAAAATTCTAAGATTACATGTGCTTAAAACCAATATTCGTTTGCTAATTTCAAAGTCAAAGTGTTAACCTTATGTATTAGTTTTTTTTTGCTGTAGGCGATTAAATTCAATTGACCTCACATTCTTATTTCAAAAGGTAGGCTTATAAATGTCCTTTCTAAGTCTGTCAATAACACTTTACAAACGTAAAAGTTAAAAGAAAAAAGGTCCTCAAGATTAAAGCACTTTTGCACTCTATGCACATCTTAAACATAGTAAATCACATTCATACTGAAAATCGCTAAATTACCCGCAAAGGAAAGAAAAGAGGGACCCACATATAGAGAAACAAGACAACAAACAGTTAACTATACCTTGGTTATATTGATCTCTTTGATGACACATTGTTTCGATGTGTCCTTCCGTTTGACCAGAACGGCTTTCCCAAACGCACCCTCCCCAATCTGCCGGACTCTGTTGTACTTGTTCATTGTGCTGTCTGACGGAAGATTCTGTCTCACGCTTCAAACGTCATCTCATCTCAGGATGATAACATGCTGGAAAAGATAAGAAAGAATGCATGATAATAAATAGAATGTGATGTGCTCTGCAAGAATTGAGGTGAGACTGCGTTATCACTGAGTCGAGTTAAAACTATTCAAATCAAGGAGGGGGGGGGGGGGTGTTCCCAAAGTCTTATTATTTCTGATCTATTTTCCTTTTAAATAAAAGTCATTATGTTACTGATGGTATAATGTTACAAATATTTTATAATGATTTATTTCTGACATAACCCTTATATTTCTTTTATAAAAGTCAAGACAACATCCCCCGTTTGACCCAAAACTCAAAGTAAGGGGCCACCATTGTCCATACGAAACATTGGGGGCTCTCGTGCCTAGAGGTTAAGGTGTTGGCCTCTCATTCGAAAGTCCCGGGTTTGAATCCAGGTAGTGATCGAAAAATTTTCTTTTCTAAAATTGTCTCCTTTCACCTCCTTTCCTACTCTCTAGCATGTTCAGTCGTCTGCTTTCGTCTCCTCTTTCTGCCCCCACCCCCTCACCTCCTTTGCCCCCTCCTCTTGGCCCCTGACTCTTTCTGCAGCCTTTCTACTGCTACTCATTGGCTTCTTCTTACTGCTGTCTTTCAGCCACACCTCTGATCTTCTGGTAGGAAAGATCTACACTAGCCTTCTCGGACAAGGGCGAAAAATCTCGGAGGGCCTGGGTGCAAGTGGCGCACGTTTAAGATCCCTTGGTGGTCTAAAATTGAAAAGTAGGCTTCGGCCGCCACCCGGGCAAAATTCAAAATTTCCTACCAATGAAAAAGTTTGATGTGTGTCTGTCCCGCACGCTCATATGACCTTATAAATGCCGTTGCGAGCGCTGTAAAACACTCACCCCCCAATTTTTTTTTTCAGAATATAATATATAAGCAACGTTTTGGGTCCCTTCTTATAAATTCCTCTCTCTACACTTACAAATTTAAAGTTAATTTCTTGCGACATAGGGCAACATGGTTTTTGTTCAATCTATGCTCTTACTCTTATGGATTGCCTCAAGTCTCAAATTAGAAACATGAATAAATTCAGGAAGTCACATCATCAAGCAAAAGTAAGCTTCCTATCAACAGTTAGAACAAATTAAAGTAGAAAATCTAGATTTCTAGATCTACTATATCTAGATCTAGATATCTAGATCAGATCTAATATCTAGATTAGATACAAAAATAAAAATTTAAGACATATTTTGATTTAGGATAACTCTAAGATCTTTGAACAACTAGTTTTTCATATGTTTTAAAACATTTACATGGAATATCTTCGAACAGCTAGATCTAGCTCTTCATATCCTTTGTATAGTATAGTATAGGGAAATGAAAATATATCATGACTCATTACAAGAAATTGTTACCAAAAAAGAAAGAAAGAAAGAAAGAAGAAATCTAATTTAAAAAGTTAAAATATCTCTACAACATATTCTGTAGATCAATACTGATGTCTTGCAACACGTTAAATTTTAATATCAATGAATTCAGGGGGACAAAAAGGCATCAGGCATCACTAAGCGTTATTTTTGGTTGTTCTTTATGTTAGTACTTTTCTTACCAGTCGATAAAATTATAATTATAACCATGCCAATTCAATTGATACACTACTAAAATCGTTATCACTTGAAAATAGGAGGAGAAACAAAGCAAAAACATAACTTTTCTCTCAGTATAAAGAAAACCAAAATTGCTGAATTCACAACAAACGTCTAAATCCCATTAATTTCGCCGATTCATTTAACAATGAATTGAAGTTTCGCCTCAATGTTTACGCATAGAAACCTGATTGTTTGGGTATGTGGCCGCCATCTTGAAAAGAGATCAGCGGAGGTAAAATTAACCTGGATTGGATTCTAACTCCAGTCCAGGTATTAAATTAAATAATACAGCTCTGACTGAGGTAGTCTTGACTCTTGACATGGTTAGGAAGGCGTATGTCGTTTATGTGTATGAATGTTTTAGTGTTCGTGTGTGTGTGTGTGTGTGTGTGTGTGTGTGTGTGTGTGTGTGTGTATGTGTGTGTGTGTGTGTGTATGA